AGAGAGAGAGATTAAGTGCGTCTATGCGTCTCTCAGCAGCGTCTACTAATAGCGAATCTTTAAGTTAAACTCCTTCATGAACCTCGCTATTGAGAAATGTCATGTAGCTTTTCAGCTGCAAAACTATTTTACTGATAAATTCGCGGTGCAGCACTGACAAGAAGTTTCTGTTCGCAACTCTGCACTATGTGTGCGTCTGTGAGAGAGACTGGGAGAAAGAAAGCCTGATTTCCATAGCCTACATAAAAAAGGTGGAAGACATGGAAATAGTTTGTCATTTTTTACCCTATTGTTTGTTATATTTATTTGCTCAATGTCTTGAGCAATGTGTAAATCCGGCCCTGTTAGACGGCAATCGGAAGTTATTACAAACACTCGATGGTGGTTTAAAGTGAGTTTTGAGTAAAAGCGGAATATAAATCTTATTTATTGTCTTATGTAGCATGATGCTACAGTTTGCATGAATGGTCGTGTAACGTTAGTATCAACAGACATCTGCATATGATGGGAACTCCACGCAGCTCCCGCGCTACTCTATACTGGTGGTATTACAGTACCACGAGAGCTAAAGAGAGCAGACTGCTCCGTGCGCTTTCGATTCGCTCTCGCGGATGATCGATCCGCGCCGCACCTCTTCTAGTCAAACGCACCAGCAAGTGCTGCAGGCTTATTGGCTCACTGACGCTGATGAGATTAACCCCTTAGGTATCGAAATTTGGTACCGAACGACAAGTCGTTTTTCGATACTCGATGGTATCGAGGCAATTCGGTCGGTGCCTAAAAAGTATCGAACTCGATACCCAGCCCTACTCTACACTGCTCAAAACTCGCATTTGAATTAGTGTTGTCAAAAGACCCGGTACTTCAGTACCAAGTCGATACTAAAAAAATGTAAACGTTACGGTACCAGGTTTTTAAGTACTGGTGGTACAGAGTACCCGGTCAACTTGGTTCTTAATGCACTCTCTTCATAAAAGCACTGAGACGTGGCGACCTCAAAACGAGGAAACTCAAAACTGACTGCACAAATAGATTTTCCAAAAGGCTTTGACTTCGTTGAATAAACATGAGCACTGCACGTGTCACAGTCGAAACACGGTGCGGGTGTTTTTATATCACTGTATTCCTGAAGGATACCGACTGTCTTCAGAAAATTATGGATGTAATTTTCATTTCATCTTGCCTGTATCTTTATCTTTTGTAACGCCTGAGCAGTTTGTGAGCGCAGCGCTTATTTGATTACAGCCGTTACCGGGGAAACCTCTATCGCTCCTGCTCTACAAGCGCCTCCTGCTGGCAGAGAATGAAGTTGCAAATAGAGTGCAAGTCTATGCAGGGTTTCTGCAGGTTTTATAAAGGTACATTTAAAACTTTAAGCCGCTTAAGACCAAGTAAAGAAAATTTAAGAAATAAATTGAATGTCAATATGGTCTCTAAATGTAAATGTCTTGTATTCAACTTCCCACAGATCTCAATGACCTTTTAATTCAATAAAAAAAAACAAAAAAAGTCTAAAGATTCTTAAATTAAGATATATTTACGTAAGATAAGATGTCTTGTTTTATGAGAAATTGTTCAAAATATGAGTTTGATAGATGGAAAAAAAAAATCTGCCAGTGGGTCAGAAAATTAACTTAATTCAAAAACAAAAAACAAGTTTTCACACACCATGGACAGAAAATTTGAAGAGTTTGGTTCCAAAACGCGATGATCGCCATTTTTATTTTATTTTATTGAGTTTCCACCAAAATCAGTATCGTATCTGGTCGGTATTGAAAAGTCAAACGCGATATTGCGTAGCTTGTCAGTGTAAGTGTTTTTATTTATGCCATTAATGTTTTTGTTAATACAGCGTATAGCACTAGTCAACTAAATGAATGTAACATGGCAAAGATGAATGCACTTTTGGAAGTTGAATGTAAGGGAAATGTCATTTTGGAATTTCTGTGGTTTAATGTGATATTTTTGTTCATGTATGTTTGTGATGAAATTTTCTTTTATTGTTGTAATTAATTTATAGCATTCACAAGATGACCCACTGAATTATTTTTGGGCGATGACTGATTGAATGTATTCTTAGTCCAGTGCCTGCATATAAGATTAGTATTGACCAAGTTCAGAGGCTGTCATACGTGGATTAACTCACTACGTTGTGCATTTTCAACAGTTTCAATATGAAAAATAACTTTTATACTGATTCAATGGATTTATTGCATTTTGGGGGGGAAAACGTGTCATGGATGTATTGCATTTTGGGGAAAAAATAATACAATTTTATAATAAATCTTTGAAAATCTAAATCTGGATTTGAATTTTTATGTTATTATAACTTAAAGATGCTATGTGAAAGTTTGAAACAGAAAATAGTGGTTTTCATCTTGCCACTTACTTGGTGTGTGTGTGTGTGTGTGTGTGTGTGTGTGTGTGTGTGTGACATTCGCACTGATATGATTTTATAAAATATTGATGGATGAGTGATTATTTCACAGCTGTTTATTAACTCTTAACACATAAGCAGACACATATTCAGGCTATAGCTTGAGAAAACACTACTTGTTTTAAGAGCACACCATTTTATGAACTCAATCAGAGCATTATCAGCAGAACCGTGTGTCTATAAACACCACTGAGGCGATTTAAAGTCTCACCTGCACAAACATTCGTCCTCTTCCGCTAAATAACTCGAGTTTGTCGCCCACGCCGGAATAAATCCCGGGGATTCATACTGTTGGAGCGCAATAAACGGATGTTTCTCGGTTTGTTGACTGTATCATGGGTTTGTTTGGAACTTTGTCCTCTTTTGTGTGTGATTTTCTGCTCAGCAGCTCCGGTCCCCGCGACGCGGCGCCATGTTGTTAGTGGCGTCTGGATCTGCGCATGCGCAGTGAGCTGCCTGCTCAAAACGACACCAAGCGGCAGGCCAGAGAATTGCTTTAGTCTCTTCAATGATCTACATGATAATAATAATAATTGTTAAAAACATAATGTATTTTTTTTTATAAATTATATATTTAATATTTTTATATTTTTATATTAAACTCTCTCTGACCTCTAACTCTAGCACTCTCTATTCTAATTCTATTCTTTGGAAAAAACTTGCCCCTTTTAGACTTGCACTCTATTCATTTACTAACCGCTTGTTTTCTTTCTTATTTTTTAAACTAACACTAGCTTCTCTATTCTTTTTGTATTCTATCGGTTTCTATATTTAACATTATTTATATAGATCCTATATTAAATTATTTTATTATAAATAATTAGAGTTTGCACAGTTTCTTATAGCGTAATTTGGACAGTAGAAATTAGAATAGAGACACAATAGACTTTATTAAAGTATTTTGAATAGAATTCAGTGACCTATAGAAGATATTTAGATATTTAATAGCTTTTTTAGAGAAGGTTTCATACATTTATGTTGCTCAAACCAAGTTAAGAAGATCATTAAATCATAAGATCATTACACTTCATTAAAGTATTTAGAATTTGAATAGAATTCAGTGAAGTTTAGAAGATATTTAAATATTTAGTAGCTTTCTTTTTGTTTCATACATTGCTCACACCAAGTTAAGAAGATCATAGTGTATTTTATTATAAATTATTTAAGATTTTAATATTTGTAACTATTTTTAAACGAATACATTTGAATTTAAAATTCATTAAATTATATTATTCACCATTATTTAATATTTAACATTATTTATATAGATCCTATATGAAATTATTTTATTTTTAGTTTGCACAGTTTATTATAGCGTCATTTGGACAGTAGAAATTAGATTAGAGCAACAATAGACTTTATTAAACTATTTAGAATTTTGAATAGAATTCAGTGAAGTTTAGAAGATATTTAGTAGCTTTTTTTTGTTTCATACATTGCTCACACCAAGTTAAGAAGATCATAATGCATTTTAATATGAATTATTTATTTAAGATTTTAATATTTGTAAACTATTTGTTAAATTAATGCATTTGAATTTAAAATTGATTAAATTATATTATTCATCCTTATTTAATTTTTTTAATCATTATTTAGAATAAAAATGTTTATGTTATTTTAAATAACGAAATAAATGATCACTGACAGCATGTTTAGAGGAGAGGATGTGCTGAGTTCCCAACAGGTGGCAGGACAGTCTTGAGCACAGCGTGCTTGAGGGAGGAGTCACACACATGAACAGCTCGAGCTGCTTGGCAACACACAGCATGCATCCAAGTGAAGCACGTTCAGTGAGTGAGTCAGGAGGTTTTGATGGGACTCTCGGATCAACCCAGCCCCACTCCACCAGCTGAAGTCACCTGCATGCCCAAAACAGAAGCAAAAGCTCGGGGGTTTACTTTCAGCACACAGAGTGCATTCATCATATGAGTTCAGATGGGGCAAACATCAGGTGCATGAAGACTCGAGCGGAGAACATGTAACAAAGGAGGACAGGAGCTGGATGATGGATTGTAACATCCCGAGCTTTCTCTAGGCTCTTCAGTTTGGATCAGAACTCTGTGGATCTTCTGTCTAGTTCAAGATGAGTTGTTTCTGTTCAGTCCCAGAGGAGTTTTACTGTGAGGTTCTGCTCCTGGATGAGTCCAAGCTGATTTTAACCACCCAGCAGCAGGGAATAAAGGTAAAAGATGCTTTTTAAAAAGAATGATTTCAGTGCATATCCTGATCCAGAGGGCCTGTAGACTGCTTTTCTTTCTACCCACGCAAAAGAACAATATCATAAAGTAATATCATGGTAATTCGATATACATCATACTGATTTTGAACAATTCCTGTGTCTATATTTAATGTTGTGTTCATATTGGAGAGGTCCACACCCTGAACCCATGAGCTCAGCACACTGTTAACCAGATTACAGTAACCAGATGATCTGGTTAGGCCTAATTATATATAGCCTAGCTGTCTGAACAGGGACTACATTAGATTGATGTTTTAGGATGATTGTGTAGAATGTTAAATGCATAAATGTTGATATGCTGTGCTTTACATGAAATATTATTGAATATAAAGCAGATGTGCTCCTTTAAACCTATACACTAACTGAAATGTATCATGGGATTGCTGTAGTTTTGTGGATATGGTATGCTCATGGAACGGTTTCACAACTTTTGCTGACATTCTGGCAGAGTTCTTGAAAGTTATGAACATATGTTATTCTTGTAACGTTATTCAATTGTTCGTTCAACGTTATCTGGTCTGTAATAAAGCACAGAACGTATATAAACATGTTTTTAAACATTGTTCACGGGATGTTTTTCTGAAACATTTTAGTTGGACGTTCTAATGTTTTTTTGTTTAAATGTTACCACTTGTTTCGGAACGTTGAGAAAGCATTCAAAAGTAACGTTCCCTTAATGTTTTCAAAATGGCAAAATGGAACGTTCCCTTGACGTTTGTGTATAACCAAGAAAAAATGTTTGAAAACATTTAGAAAACTTTAAAGTTCTACTTTTAATAAATTTAAAGAACATATTTTTGTTATTTCTGATATATTTGTAGCAGGACGGATAACAGAAGTTGTATCCCAGCTAACAAAAACAATATGTTCTAAGAACAATATGCTAATGTTTCCGTTAGATTATGAAAATGTTATTTCTGAACAGTGTTGGGGGTAACGCGGGTTACGTAATCAGATTACTTTTTTCAAGTAACTAGTAAAGTAACGCATTACTTTTTAATTTACAAGAGAATATCTGAGTTACTTTTTCAAATAAGAAACGCAAGTTACTTTTTTTCCAATTTATTGATTGACAGCTCTGGTGTTGCCATGGTGACAGAAATCAGAAGATGTTACTGTAGTTCTAAAATAAATATGAATATGCATTAATTCATCTCACTCACAAAAAAACACAGATTCAGTATTCCTCAAAATGAATAAAAATAATGCAACTCAGAATATGATGCAAATCTGCAATAATGAAATGTTAAACAACACAAATATAATTTATGTATTTAATCCCATTCTTTGCTTCTGACCGTCGATGATCCAGTTCAACCGTACTAATAAGCACACATTACTCTAGACGAACATCTGTGTGTCTTTGTTTATTGCTGAAGTGTGTTGAAATGTTTTCTGCTGCGTTCTACTGTACGGACGTACATTTACTTTCACTTTTGGTGTGAAAAGGCTTTTATATTTGCCAAAAATATAACTTTTTTATTTTAAAAACAAACAAGCAAGCCCTGTCCAGATTTAAAAAGTAACGCAAAAGTAACGTAACGCATTACTTTCCATAAAAAGTAACTAAGTAACTTAAATAGCTACTTTTTTATGGAGTAACGCAATATTGTAATGCATTACTTTTAAAAGTAACTTTCCCCAACACTGTTTCTGAATGTTCAAAAAGTTTTTAGAATGTTTAGGGAATATTCCATTTTATAATTTTCCAAACATTAAAGGAATGTTACTTTTCAATGCTATCTGAACATCATGAAACAAGTAGTAACATTTAAAAAAAAAGCGTGAAAACTATGAACGATGTATTAATAACATTTTGTGCTAATATTCGAGAACATTCATATTAAAGCTCAGATAACTCTGAACAAACGTTTGATTAACGCTCCTGGAAGATATTCGTTCACATGCAGCACGTTTGTCTCTCTGAACAGAGTATCGTCAGATATCGGATAGCTGGTTTGCTATGAATAGTTAATGGACAGTGGAGCAGGAGGATCTTTAGCAGGTCGTTAATGTACAGTACATGAGGCCTGCAAAACTTTTTAAAAGGCACGTTTTTGCAAAATAGTGTAGCTTTTAGCTGCTATCTGCAGAGAGGAGGTAAAAACAACAGTGTGAAGGGCTCAGAAATGCTGTTTTTGAGTTTTATTAGTTTGTTGCACATTGCCGGACATGTAGTTCATGGTCGTCGAGTTCAGGAACCGATTCTGAGATGAAAGTTGATGAAAGTGTCCTTCTGTCACGCTTGTCTGGATGTTCTTAGCATGACGCCCCCATTTTCCTCCATCAAGGACATTGAAAAGACAACTCCCTCTAAAACAACAAAAATGAAATTTTTGTATTTTCGCATAAAATTGGAGTCCAAGATGTTGCTATGCAGGTTGCTAGGCGTTTTCTTCCCTTTTGTCAACTTTAATACTTAGTGCATGTGATCAGACATCTAGCATGTGTGTGTGTGTGTGTGTGTGTGTGTGTGTGTGTGTGATGTAGTGGTTTATGGTTTTGTCAGAGACAGGTACAGACAGACTCCAATCCTGAACTCTGAAACCCCTGACAGCCCAGAGATGTTTTATTGGCTCTGCCAACATCCCATTTAAGAAAGGAATTCACTCTGAATATGCTACTCTGCCACTAACTTTCTGTCAACCAACTGTAAAATTAGAGTTAAATTATATTACTTTTTTATTAGTTTGATGACAGTGGTGGCTTATATTAAGATATCATGAATACCTTGAATACTTATCAAGAATACCATGCCATCACCATAGTAAGCATTCAAAACAAACACAAAGTATTGCCTATGATACTTTTTGCTTCGTGAATACAAGTATGCCAGAGAGTAATAGGATATTTATTGTCCAGTGAGCCTGTCATACAACATTCCTCTGAGAAACCTCACCTCACAGGTAATTATCTGAAACCTGCTATTAAAAACAATTAGTATTAAGGTGTTATTTGAAACACACTTAATCGCCTTAATATTGCTCGAATTTAAACCATCATTCATAAACCTGAGGAATGGAGTCATTTGTTAATATTTTATATACATTAATTGTAAGTATTCATTAATTGTAGGGGCTGTTTTATTTTGTTTTGTAAATTATAAAATTAAAAAAGTGCACATAATTTTACTGTATTTGGTTGGTGTACATATCCAAAATATACTTTTTCCAGATCATTTCCATGTGTGTGTGTGTGTGTGTGATTCTGTCAAATCAACCAAATTTCTGAAACTTCCCCGGCTCAAATTTTTTTATTATTTAATAAAAGGAATTGAAGCAAGACAAACATAAATAGTGAAAGACAAAATATTAAATGTTGCAGATATATATTTACTGAGTAAGCCCCTATATTGTAGAGGAGGGTCAAAATGACAATTTTAGAGCCAAATTACAGGAGGGTAAAAAATGACTTGAGAAAGATGGCAGCATCATTATGTTATTTTTATACAGAGATTCGTAGCTTTATCTGTTGACTTTGGCAATCTTTGTAGCATTATGTTACGATGGTGACCGTTCAAAAATGGAAAAAAGCACTTTTTATGTGTGTTTTTTCCCCCAAAAAATTTGCATGCCTGTAATATCCTTTTAGATTGTGGTTCTTTACAAACTTTTCTTTTGGTATCTTCATTTATAAGGCCCTATGGTTAAATTTCAGATATACAGGGATCCCAATGCAACCTGATTTCCAAATTGTTGTTCAGTGATCAAAACCAAACATGGTTCACTTTGCATACAGCAAATACTTATTGTATTTAAAGAATGCCAGAAGAACAAATTATATTTAAAGTAGAATCCCCCATATATTGTTAGACTTTTATTAAAATGTATATATAGAGAGAGAGAGAGAGAGAGACAGTATAAAGTATTACGTTTATAGAATGTATAAAGTTGGTTTGCAGAAAGTTACCATGGAATTATAGAATATGCTATGTAAATTTCTTCCGTTGATGGAGCCAATAAAGCATTAATTGTTGGAGGGCTGCGCCAACTGGAATTGGTCAATCAAACAGATAGTCCCGCCCCAAACTCGCGTGATTGGATCAGGTCTTGCATTCCCTGGGAATCAAACCCATGATCTTGGTATTGGAACTGTTTGAGATACAGAAATGCAATTCAATTCTGGATATCTTAATAATATGATTTGTGCTTTCAGCTACCAGCTACAAGTGTAGTCATTTCAATTCCATTTAACATATATAAATCCACCTAAATCCCACAAAATTCTACTGATGCTGTCCAAAAATGGTGCAGACATGCACAATCCATCTGCGGATTGAGTGTCAGCAGTGTTTGTGTGTCAGCTGGGGTCAGAGGATTTAACAGGCATTTGAAGGAGCAAGAAAAGAACATGAGAATAATCTCTGCATCAGCGACTTTCTTCAGTCACACTGAGGGTCGTAATCTCTCCTGTCAAACGCAGAATCAACACTGATCACTTTGTTTTTCTAGATGCATTCCTTCAGCGTGCGCAGACGGCAGAAACGTCCTTAAATGGACCGCCGTCGGCAATCAGAGCGCTAATTATTCAGCTGATTGAGCCTATTGAGGTGCTCATCAAATTTACATCAAGGGTCCATTTGGAAGAAGCTTTGAATTATAGAAGACAGTCAAAAACAATCAGGCTGCTTTGTCGTTCTTTTTTGCTATATTTAAATGTTTCGTCTTTGATAAGAATCATTCCAGATCATCCGAGTTATTCTGAAACGTGTCATGCTTAAAAACTACCTGCATCAGTTTTGTTCCAGGCTTCTGTCGTTTATAATGGCGTGGTAAGTTCCTTCCGTTGTCGAATGCAAGCGTTCAACAAAGGCTTTCAGAAACGCTCATCCGTCATCAAGCTAAAATTTCCAGCGACAGTCTCGCGTGTATTTCAACAAGCCTCATGCATATGAATTATTACTGATGCTGGAGTCTAATTTTAAATCTGTCTGCTGTGCACAA